TTCTGTTAGACAAGTAGTTACAGCGATCACTCACCTCAAGAAAAGATTTTAGGCAATCAGAGCTATAAGCCCTGTTTAACATGCTTGGCCTCCAAGGAATTTTCTTTTCAAAAGACTGAGAAAGGTGTAACAATAACGCAGCAGTGGGAAGATGCAGCGGAAATCATGAAGGCTTAAGCTGTACCTGTCAACACCTTCAAGCTGACAGTACAGTCAGAGCTACAGTCTGCTTATGAAATCAGCAACTAGCACAAGATACAAAGCCAGCGTTGCCTACCGCTCTCACTCAACCACCCACTCCCAGCACACCCATCACCTCACCAAAGCAAGTCAGAAAGGCAAGGGCAAGATGCACGAGGCGAGGGGTGCCGCTTCCTTACGGTAGGAAGCTACCACAGGCACCTGTGCTCCATGCGGGGCCAGCTCTGCCCACATGACTGAAACTCACCCCGAGAGCTCAGGCTTGAAGTCACTAAAATGTGTTTGGTTAACAGTCCTGGCCAATGTCCTTTCATTTAATATCTGCCACCAAAACACAAGAGAACAACTCAAACTCTCACTTATGTTTAGCATGTAGAGACACAGCTTTCATATGAGCAATCTTGTCCCTGCTTGTGTTGCATACCCTCAGTACAACTGAAAACACCACCAATTCACCAAACCAAAGAGAAGAGGACAGAGGCTCCACCTTCATGAGCACCATGACAACTAATGCTGACTTTTCACCCATGTGAATTTGGAAATTAGATTTATTGGGTCAGGTGAAGAAGTAGTTCTCTCTGTCACAAACCAACTTTCCAGGGACAGTGAGAGTCCTCAAAACTCATCAGTGTAGAGTGGGTTTTCCTGGTGACCTCCATCGTGGTGAATGTAAAGACCAGTGACAGTCTGGTGGGCTTTAATGTGTTTTGAATCTTGGCCATTTGCTGGGTCCTCATGTGAATCATCCTCAGAATAAAGCATTTCCACCACTGAATTCTTTCACTGTAGCCTCTCATAGCTTTTAATACCTTGAAATTATACAATAAACTAACCCCGATGTCTTCTTCTACTGTATTCTAGTAACTAAAGCAGACTCTTAAGCACTTGGCTGAGCAACTTTTCAGCTAATGCTGGGAATAAAGGGATGAATATGGCAAGGCAGGGGGTGTAGAAGATGCTCTACTACCAAGTACAGATGCAAAAACAGCAGAATGTATTTGCCCAGAACCTGTCCAGATCTTTGTACCAGGACTTGTCTGAAAGCACAGAGAGCTTATTGAGGTTAAGAGGGAAATAAAAAAAAAAAAAAAGGGAAGTCTAGGGAAGTTTATTTCATCAGGTAACACTTTGCAAGCTTCAGTGTAACAGTATTTTTATTTCCCATGCTAAAGGCTAAAGGAGCTGGTAAAAGCTCAGTGGGAATGGGGGGCTGCAGCCCCCTGAGCTGCAGTGTTTAGCATCTCTGCAAAAGAGCAGCTCCGGAGCTTGGAGCTGTCAGGCCCAGAGATGCCTTGCTCGGGCTGCTGGGCCAGCTCCCGGCCCGGCTCTGGATCTGGGCAGCAGGGAGGGATCTTGACCGCCTGCTGCTCCCAAAACAGGTATCTGCAGCGCAGGAGCAAGGACAGGGAACGCCAGGCATGCTCAGGAGCCAGCCTCTCACCCAAGATAGCCCCTCTCCCAGCAGGCCTGTAAGACAGGAGCAAAAGGAACTTCCCTCTCCAAGACCTGGAGGGGGACTGAAGGACATCACCATTGCGAGAGAAAAAGAGAGAAAAAGAGACTGAAAGTAAGAGGTATTTCCACAAAATGGACACTGAAGTCGACGCCAGTGCTCTGCTCCAAATCCTGCAAGCTTTCAAAATGAAATTATCTACATTGGTGTCTATACTACTACTTCAAGGGGCCTGCTTGAAATAATTTGAATTTCTATGAAAACTGTTTAAAGAAAGTCCAAGTCTTATTAATGCCATTGCAATTCAAATACTTTGAAGATTATCTGGATTCCTTTCCTGAACTCGATGCAAATTTTACCATCATCTTTTGCTTTCACTTGTATGTGAGGCAAAAAAATCAGACAAGCAAGAGTGTCTGCCCATCATCACGGCATCTTAATATCAAAGGATGCGTCCACAGTTAAGGCAGTAGGTGAGATGTAAGAAATCTCATGAAAGCATCCACGAACTAGCAACTAGTACTTTCGAGTAGTTTTGTCATTACATGTTAGATCACTGGAAGGAAAATATGGGATGCGTAGAAGCAAAGAAAAGCATTTTCAAACAGCACTTCCTCACTCAAAACCTAGCACATACAGGGCCTAACCCTTACTCTTACAAATACTACAGTTAAAGCACATGACTAATCACATGAGCAAAGAATGCAGTCAGGACACTGATAAACATTTTGATAGCAAATAGCTGTTAAAAAAATTGAATGGGTGCACACTTGCTTGCATGAAAGGATAATATTTATTTTATTCAGTAGTATCATGGCTAGGATTTCATTATTCCATTTACAAAGATTTGCAGAACACAAATTGCATTGGCCACAAAATAATTTAATTGAATAGTTTTAAAAATTTTAAAAATGTAATATGAAAGTCTTTTAAAAACTGATCTGCATCGATAAAGACAGTGGAAGTTGCACTCAATTATATTTGCAGTTAGAGGCAGTCAATGGAATTGTGAAACAAAATGCTTTTCCTTTAGAAACTTAATAGGAATTAGATTTTGATACTCTCTGCAACACCACAGAAACTTAAATTCTCAGGAGGTCTTATTGAAATCAGTGGGACTCCTCAGGGTAGGGCATAAGACCACACACACCTCCACTAGGGCATAAAACTCGATTTCAATATTATATGCAGTGATATTTGATGGTAAATAGTAATCCACATTCAGACATTGCAGCAATTCATGCTCTGTATGTAAATCTTTTAAATTAAATTTTCTACTGACAAATTCTCCAGTGCTTTTTTTTTTTTGGGGGGGGGGAGATCTTAACTGTTGGCCAGTCACAGCTTTCAATACATCCCTCACTCTTGTGTTGACGATTTGTTCTTCATACATACATTATCTGAAAGTACACCAAAAATTTACAAACTTGTGAAAGCCAGGTGAAAAGTATAGCTGGCCATTTAAAAACAGGCAATGGTGCACAAGAGCTTTCATTTAATTTACCTGGAAAGACATCCTATCTGAACCTTAACATATTAAGATAGACTTTTTCAAGCTTCTTGTATCTTCTAATACTCTCACATGCAGCTTGAAGTAAATCTGCTTCAAAACAGTCACAAGTGTCTTATTTGCGAGGAAGGCACATTATATTTCCAGTTGTGTCATGCTGGGGTCCAGCCCTCACAGAATCTCTCTCCTAAGATGAGTTTCAGGGAGCTCCTTCCAGCAAGGGCGGATGAAGAAGCCCACACCGAGGGCGGGAGGCGCTGCAGCGACTCTGGCGGCAGAGCCCATTGAGGCGAGCGTGGGCCCCGCTGTGAGGCGAGCGTGGGCCCCGCTCCTGAGCTGAGTGCCGTTTCGGTGGTGCCTCGCTTGGCGAGGCAGAAACTCCACCTCTGGGAAACCACATTCCAGCAAGGCCTCAAACAACCACCTTGAGCAGCTCTCCCGCATGCCCTTCCTTTTTTCCTGGGATCACATATAAATCTCAACTCCGACAACTCCACAGGGCTGAGGTAAGTCCACAATCCCATGTAGCTGATAATATTACAGCTAGTTCAGATTTTCCTGCCCGTTGAATACAATGAACCTAGAAAACTATCTAGAAAACAAAAAAGGTACTAGAAATATAATTCAACCACACCAACACTAGGAAATCTAAGAAATGAGCTACCAGTGACTTTAAAGCTCTTCTCCTCTTTGCACAATGATACTGCTAAACTCCTTTCCATGGATGACACACTGGTCAGTAAAGATGAGGCTGTCATGTGCAGAGTTCCTGCTTTGCTTCATGGAAGCTGGATGCATCTCAGCATGGCCCAATGGTACCAATGGATGGGGACTCTCTCGATCATGAGGTAGGAAGGGCCAGGAAAAGTAGCAAGGGAGAAAAGGGAAGGGCGAAAAGGAATGCAAGCTACAGAAGCTGAGTGCTGCCCTGTGGGTATTATCTCAATACCTGCCAAAGAGTTACACTGCAAGACGGAGAAAAGTCATCCCATCTAGTGACTTAGTTATGCTCTCCATCCTCTGCACTTCCCTAATCTGGAGCCAGCCTTTGAAGTCTGCAGAGTACTACAGCTGACTCCAGTTGCAGTTTGAGCTCTGAATGTACACAAATCAGAACACCACCAAAAAGCCTAATGAGAAACTCTCTGGGATCAGGAAAAATCAGTCTAGATTTCTCAAACGCTCTGCCAAAAACTGGCTGACGCTTGAAGGGAAACTGGTTCAGGTATTAAAGCTAAATTGGTCCAAATGTAAAATAGGACAGTATCTTTTCTCCATGAAAAGGTGCTACAACAGCAGTTCTCTATAATAAGGCACAACTAGTCAGAATAGCACAGAGAAGCCCAGAGGAAATTAAAAATTCTGTATTCATTATGGCATTTAGATAGTGAGCAGAAATAATACGTGGACCACATGCAGGGCTACTGGGACATTGAAAAAAAAAAAGAAACAGATTTGCATTCTCTGAATGAAGCAGGATCCTGATGCACCTGCAGAATCAGACTGTTCTACTCACAACACGATGCCAAGGCAGGCGATGCACAGACAACCTTAATTTTGGAATTATTCAATCTGCTGCTTTAATCTTTGCATACTTCTGTCCTGTCAGGCTTTTAGGAGAAACAGGTTATGTTATTACGATCACCTTATGTTATTCCAGACTAAAGAGGGAGTAGGAGAGGGCTAATGTAAGAACTATGCAGGTAAGTCTAGACGAGCACACAGTGCATACAGTGATGATGCAGGAGAGGCAGGCAAGCGCCCGGGCGAGTCGGAGCAGCTCGGTGCACAGCAGGCAGCTGCCTGGCCCAGAAGCGGTGCCCTGAAGAGCCTCACCGCACCCAGCACACTTAATCCACGACCCACATAATCTCCCACAAATAATCGAGAGTCGGCTGCGTACAGCGGCACTCCATTAACCTCACAGCTCATTGCAACAGCCCACATCCTCGATAAACTGCTTAGTGATGAATTCACCGAAAGCGCGTGGCCTCTTACAAACATCTTGAGACCAGTAATGGGATAGTTGCCCCTAAGGCCCAAGCTACGCTATAGCCTCACTGGATTCAAACATTTTGAAGACACAAGGGATCTATTATCAGCATCTAATCATTCTCCTACAGAGGAGAACCTGATTCTCAGCACTGTCATGTTTCATCTGCTGAAACAAAACTACCAAAAGCTTTGGACATATCAATAAAAATACAATTCACAATGCAAAGTTTGAAGTTTTATCTGCTGGTCGGTACCTCATATAAAATAAGGTTAGCAACCACATGCACTCCTCCAGTCTTAATGATTATCAGAAAGGGAAGATAGGACTATACACATTTACTCTGTCAAGTCAAAGATGAGGCATACTCATCAGACACTTAAATTAAACGTGCTGAAGCCATTGTTGCACTTCCACTATGTGGGGAGAAAAAAAAAGAAAAAAAGGGGGGGAAGGGATCTCTGTAGGTGAGAGACAGACGGGGGGTTTCTAACCACTTAAGAGCTTTTTTGACCTCCTCTCAAAAAGTCAACTTCAGCTTCTTAGGAATCTGCCTTGCATAGAGGAAAGATACGCAAAATACATAATGCAAGTAATCTCTGAGTTAAGGACCAAAAATCTGTCCAGCTAGCCACCTGTACCACTATCAGCAGAATTTACACCCTCTTCAATCAAATTTGCAGATTTTGCAGAAGCGTAGTTATCCTCATTAAAAAAAAAAAAGGGGCCTTCACTTTCACTTATGCTTGCCAGAAAAAAAAATGGGAACCCTATTTCTCTCCACCTCAAAAAATAAAACCCCATCTGTAATAATATATGAGAGACCATCTATAAAGCAAATGTCATGTTACATCACAAGGCTGCAGTCACGGTAAGAAAAGCTCTATAAATCTTCTATAAATCTTTTAACTCCTACTAATATTTCCCCATGTTTTCTTTTTTTTCCCCCTCCGCATTCACTCATTTAAAGTGAAAAGCCAAAAACAGAGGAAATTCTAAGCCTTCTCCATGACTCTCCAGAGTAACCAACATTCTTATAGAAAAATATTATGGCAAAGACCCTGTGAGCTGAAGTGATTCATAATTAATTGCTAATATTTACAAAGAAAAGACCCCATTAAATAATATATGGGAATCAGACATCTTGGAAACTGAAGTAAAATTTTTGGGACCACTACTGAGTAACAGCAGCCAGGCAAAACTATTGCAATAAAGTATAAAACCAGTTGTATCAACTTTCCTACTCTTTTTCAAAGCAATGTAAAAAGCTGAAGTCCATCTGGGGAGGGAGGGGAGTCAAGAGTAGCTCACAACTCTCTGTAAATTTAACTGCAGACCCAATATTTATTTTCTTTTTTACTTAACAAGAATTGTAATAAAACCCTAAGCTACCTTTAGCCGTAGCCTGAAATACTTTTTGTTGAGCTAGTAAGAGCTAGTGATCAGCAACCATGAATGGCGAAGCACTTTTTTGCAACGCCTTACCAAAATTCCTCCGAATCAAAGCCCAACCAGCCGGCAGCAGCATAAACCTGTCAATACGGATAGGTCTGTATAGATACACGTCTTGGACATAAGCATCACTACTTGGCGTGACCCCAGCGAATGTAACCGTAGGGTTCCATTTCTAAGCGTGCCTGAATGAGGTGCGGGTTTGCCAACCAAACTCCCGATTTCTGATCCGCACACACAGCACTGCTCGGTGTCACTGGATCAGCACCAGGTCCCGCTCCCACCTGCCACCTCGCCAGGGCTCTCCCCAAAGGGCACAAAACAGGCACGAGAGCCCCCAGGGCTCTCCCCGCGCCGCTGGGGCCTCTCCGAACGGTGCCCAGAGTTTGCGACAAGAGAGACACAGAGCCCCAAGGAAACCTGCGGCACCGCCGCGTGCCCTTGGCCTCTCCCCACAGTATTGCACCTTGGCCAAGCTACGGAATAAAGCGTATGTAGGTGTGTGTGTATTTGCGTGGGTGTCCGCGCGTGCAC